ACTTTATTCAACAATTCGTCTCCTCCGCATCACCCTGTATTGTGTTTACGTCCAGCGGATACTCTCTAAAATGACGCTACAGGGTGATACGGAGGAGACGAATTGTTGAATAAAGTCGTTATTTTTTTATTTTTTTTCTTGCGGATGAACCACTGATGTCACATGGATTATTTTACAGATCTCCTTGCTACGTTTCTGGACTTGGGAACTTGTCAGTTGCGTTGCTGTCTATGCAGGGTCAGACAGCTCTCAGATTCCATCAAAAATATCTTAATTTGTGTTCCGAAGATGAACGAAGGTCTTACGGGTTTGAAACGACATGAGGGTGAGTAATTAATGACAGAATTTTCATTTTTGGGTGAACTATCCCTTTAATGTCAGGGTTGTTATATTTAACTAAAACTAAAACCATAAAAATCATTTTATGTAAAACATTTTTACATATAATATTTTTCAGCTAGTTGCCAAGACATTTCTCATTTGGACTTAGTTTGATTGATGTATTTGGTGTACTAAAATGACTGAAACTCATAATAAAAATTAATTAAAAAAACTATATCACCATGTAAATAAAACGAAATGACATCAATTACTAAAACTAAAATGAAAATGCAAAATATAGAAATAAAGCAAATTAAAAATATGAATCTGAAAACTATAATAGTATCTTAGTGATACTAAAATAATGCAGCTTCATGCAGCATGTGTGTATTTTTCTTAAAATACTCGAGGTTCATAGTAAAGTTTAGAATCACTGAAGCGTTAACATCAGTTGTATCCAAAAGATATTCAAATGAATACATTCTAATTATAATTTATAGAAAAAAAAAGAAATTACTTTAAAATTATTCTAGGGGCCTGAAGTGTTGCCCTAATTAAAGAATCATCTGTATGCATTTGTGTAGGAAGATCTGTACAGAAACAATGTCAAGTGGTTGCAAAGATATTTCTTTGTGGGATTTTAATTAAGCAGGGTTTTCTGTCTGTCTTAATATGGAAGCATTAGTTTCTTGTTAAATCATTTTCTTCATCGTTTCTCTGGGAAGCTTCCTGTGTCCAGTGTGTTTGATTGACATCTCTGACTGACTTCAACACACATAGCTTTTTCAGATGCAGAATGGTTGGACTCTCCTAATAGAATGTGTGTTATCGTTCAGGTGAAGAGTGTGCACTGTAAAGCTGGAGATACAGTCGGAGAGGGAGATCTACTGGTGGAACTGGAGTAGCAGATCACCTGCAGGTTCTGAAGATCATCAGTCGCTGTGGATGAGCAAACAAAGACCCTAGTAGAGTAGATGGAACATTCCTCCATTTGTTATTTTTTTTCCCCTCATGGTTTTACTCCTTTTTTTCATTATGACTATAATGTATCATCTGCCTGGAATTTAGCTGGATTCCAGTGAAGGAAATGTCAAAACACTTAGATCTCTTGTGCCTTGGTTTTATTGTTTCACATGGAATTAACCACACATCAGCAGCAGTTTGAACGCATCTTTAAATGCAGTCAATGTAAGCTGTTGACACTCCCTCACTGTCTCTCTCTACTCTCTGTGTACATTTAGCATTGTTCAGAGGAAGTGCTGTGAATGTTTTGCATTGCTGCAACTCATTTTTAATTATTAGGTTATATTATGCAATGCTTTTTCTGCTCCATGATTATTCAAACATAATATAGGCCTATTCACTCTTCATCTTCAAATCACCAATCCCACACTGATTTATTTAAGTGTTTCCATAGAACTTGTACCTCATTTCTGTCATCAAATGCATTAAACTCAATTTGTGATTATTTCTGTGCAAGTTGTTCTTAGATCTGGAGGTGCACTGTTCAAACAGTTCATTTGCTTGGGCTTTAATTGTTCAGTCTTTTCCTCTCTTTCTAAAATTGAGAAATCCCGAGGAGCGGAGCATTACCAGAAGGAGAAGGCAGATATGATTACTCGCAGGCTAACAGACTGTGGTCAGTCTTGGAGGAGGCACTGGTGCTGTTTCCTGCTTTTTAGCACTGAGCCACTTAGATCCACTTTCTGTCTGTATTTGTTTTGAGAAAAAAATGTAATTGTTATAATAAAAATGGGATTAATGTAAACATTTCAAGTGCTCTTGACTGCTTGAAGCCTCAGGCTTGGAAAGGAAACACATTAAATGCATTACTGAAATGAATGATTTGATTGAATGCTGTGTGGCAGCAGCTATTTCCAGAAGAGAAACAGACGCATACAACAGTTAAACCAGTTTGATTTTTTTTTTTTTTTTTTTTAATGTAGCAACCTTTTTTCTCTCACAAATTTAACAAATGTAAACAAAATAAGTCAGTTGACCAAGAATTTGCCTCAAATTGGGCCACTTTTTTGTAGTTTCGAAAATGTTTGCTGCAAGTTGTCTCCACTGTAACGTGGTTTCCTGTTACTGATGTTCAAGACTGAGAGAAGACAAAGAGGATTGATTTCGCTAAAAAAACATACTGCCTGTGAGTGTAAACACAACAGTATGATCCTTCAATACCCCATTTGGTTGGTTAGGAAACGGATTTAGACTTGCTCAAGTGACATTAATAATAGGATTTTATCTGAAAATACAACATGTAGTAATCGTAAAATTAGTGTAATGTGTGTTTTACATACAAACACGTTTGTTCTTCACTCTGAGCTGTTTTAGTTCAGCAGCGGCTGTCAGTGTAGAAACTGGATTGCATTGTTATGGTTGTGCTTCAGAACGGTCACAGCTCTGACTGTGGCCTTGAGCTGACAATAAAACTCAATACACACACACACTCAGAGACTCCACCCCACTGACCTTTGACCTTTCTCAGTTGCTCACATGTGAAGCTTTATGGCCATAATATTTCCTGTAGCCACTGTGAGAGAAACTGCTTCCTTGTTTTATTCAATACTGTAAAAAACAGAAAAAACAAACGCCTTAAACCCGGACAGCACTGCACTGGGTCGTCGGTTAACACTGTTTAATTCTCCTCAGTGAATCCTTTCTTTTAAATACGTCGCATGCAGAGATTCAACCGTAAACTGGACTTCATCGAAGGCCTCACACTGTAGTGACTCTCATGACCAGTTCGCGGTTGCTGTTGCTGGTCTGTCCGCGCGGCTCCTGGGGCCTCAGGTGATGGCTGAGGAGATGAAGGATGTTGTAAGCACAGTGGTGGTCTGGCAGCGAGGGCTGCCCATTGCTGGGCTCAGATGAGTCCTGCGGCTCTGTCGTGGCACCTGCTGCCAACGGGACGGAGTTTGTGGTGGGGGTTACGGTGGCAGCTGCAGCCATGAGGGAGGACGTGGAGGTGGAGGCTTCACCTTCCGTGCCGGTCAGCCCCATTCGGTGCGTCAGCGGCAGAGTGAGGGTCCGGAATGTGGCACCGGTCTTCTGATGCTCCTCATTGTCTTTCACCTTGTCGTAGTTTAAGACTTTCCACTGCTGATTAACAGCCTGCCAGCGGTTAAAGATGCGAAATACGGAGGGACCTTCGTGGACAATCAGAGCTACAAGAGAAGGAAAGACGGATTTGCTAAGTGAGGGATAATGTACAGTCAGGCAGTGTCATGAACAAATGGGTCCGCCTAGAAAGTGATTCCATTTGCTGAAAGACTTTTTTAACAAGTACTTTAAGGACATAAATTCTTTTATTCAGCAAGGGTGCATTAATTTGATCAGAAGTGACAGTAAAGACATTTAGAATAATTGCTGTTCATTGAACTTTCTATTCATCCAGAAAAAAGTATCACAGTTTCCACAAAAACATGAAGCAGCACTGTTTTCAACATTGATAATTATAGGAAATGTTTATTGTGCAGTAAATCAGCATATCAGCATTATTTCTGAAGGACCATGTGAGTAATGGCTGCTGAAAATTCAGCTTTGCATCACAGGAATAAATTACACTTTATAGTATACTCGCATGGAAAAAAGTTATTTTAAATTGTGACAATGTTTCATAATTACTGTATTTTTGATCAAACAAATGCAGCCTTGGTGAACAGAAGAGACTTCTTTCAAAAACATTAAAATAATCTTATTAAACTCACAGTTTGGACAGTAGTGTATGTTAATATAATGATTAGTGCCTTTAAAATATACACTTAAATCTTCCGCTCAGAAACAGTCCTCCTAGCAACAAGACAGTAACTGCAAAAATATTACAGTAATATTAATATTTAAGTACTCTGTTTTTTTTTTACTACAGTTTACTTGTGTACCTGATACGCAAGATGGCGGCAGTTGAGTTATGTTTCTTTAAAACATAAGAGTCTATGGTGTGATAAGAGAGACATGAAAGTAGGGCTGGTTTCTGATGACTGGATAACCAGAAATATCACTCTATTGAATGGGAGGATTGACCAATCACAATCGTGTATTCCAAAGAGCCGTGTAATAACTAGTAGCTAGTTATTCTCATACTAATACACATGAGCTTCACAGATAAAACTTCACAATATATAGAGTTCTACTCTCTTCTATTTCAAAACACTTGAATACGTTCAAAACTCTTGAGTACTCATACTTTTACTCGATTACATTTCCCAGGCTAAAAAATTATATTTTTTACTCCTCACAATTAATTTAGTTCTCCAAAGTGCATAGGTCATAATGACATTTTACAAGCCAACTGAATATCATTGTGCCTGCTGCACCTATAGTACGGCAGCAAAGTTCCTTGATTATTACGCCGGAATGAGAGTATAGTTCCTAGCCATATCGGCCTAGAAAATCACAACTTTTCATTTTCCGTCGGTCTTAGTACACAATGTAACTACAGAAGAGTCAAGTTTTAAATAAGAAAAATATAGAAACTCTTTGGTCATTTTTGAGCGAGATGCTAACAGTCTAATCAGATTCAATGATCTATGCTAAGCTAAGCTAAAAGTGCTACCGCCAGACCCGGAGATCGGCTGAATGGATTCGAAAACGGTAAAACTCAACTGTTTAACTCTAGGGGAGTTGGAAAATGAGCCTATTTTCAAAAAAAGTGGAGTGTTCCTTTAAGACTGGTTTTGTG